CTTCCCCCCGTTTCGGTTTACGTCCATTCCTCCCTTTTCCTCTCTTTGTACCGCGTCCGTATGGCCTCCTCCTGCTCCACACCGCATCAACATCTCCTCGCCAGTCGGGAGTCTGGGCGCAATTCCACCCCCTCAAAACCACCCAACTCACCCCACCCACTCACCCCTCCTGTCGTTCCCTCAGTCTCCTGCAACCCCTGTCTTGTTCTCCTCACTGCTCGCAATACTGTATACATATAAATAAAATATATATGACGTCTGTCTATAATGCCTCTGGAACCCTGTTGGCTCTTTCGATCTTCCTGTTTCAGGACTCCCCGTTGAGACAAATCTCTGATAGTATTTACACTCGGGATTTTACGGATTTGAAGATTATTATTGAAATTTCAATTTCGTGGGAGATTCTGTTCTCAATTCATTTTATTTTGGTTATTTTGGTTTTTATTTATTGATGCTGGGGGTATTGTTGGGGAGGATTATTTAAGGTGAGAGGGTTCTCGATTTAGGTGGGAAAAAAATAATCAAAATGGTTGTATCCGTTGGGGGATGGGTCGGTTTCTCTTCGGGGAAATTCCGAGTTTAAAAAGTAAATTGCGGGGTTTAAATGTTAATGAAGATTTCGTAGTCCCTAATTGTCAGTTTAATGTTGGTAAAAGCTGGAAGTGTATCACGATTTTTAACGCATGAATTGTCATTTTTGGTGGGCTAATTGAATTTTTTTTTTACTCAATTGTAAACTCAATTGAAATGTACGTGCGAGCATGTACATCCACATCTGAGCATGTGGTTTTTGTTAATTAATGTACTGCTGAGAAATTCTCTTGATTGATGAGATTTCCCTGGAAAAATTGGAAAAGCTTGGGGGAACCACAATGTCATGGGGAAATCGATAGAATTCTATTATTCAGTGGAAAGTTATAAAAAGAAGAAGATGTGGTTAAATCCCAGAATTTCGGAATAACCACGAATTCAGGTTAATTTTCTGTTGAATATTGAAATTTCAATAACAAATGTATATAAATTATGGAATTTAATACGATTTTCACTTAAATTCGTTCAAGTCAGTGAATTATTCCGATGAACTTGAAATATCTCTGGATTTTTGTGGAAATTAGCGAAGATTACTCATAAATTATTAAAAAAACGTGACGTTTTTAAATAATCTTGAGGAAAATTGTAATTGTTTCCGGAAATTGATGGGATTTCATAGAAAAACTTGGCATTTAATGATATTAGTTGGAAACTACGCGAATCTTGAGATTCAGAAAAGTTTTGTCAAGCAATTTTTTTCTTCCTTTTTCCGCATTAATTTCCGCGGGAAAGTTTTGAGTGATGAATTTGTAAACAAGTTTTATTTATCCGCGTCTATTCGATTCGCTTTGCTTCCAACTGTTCTGTTCTATTTTGCAAACTCGGCATTGCGTTATTATGCTGAGAGCTTTCCATTCCTGGAAATCAGGGGAAACATCCAATTAATTGGGTCGCTGCGCTAATTGCACATTACTCCGTTGATTAAGATTTTTCTCCAGTCGTCCAACTTAAATTCAAGGGAGGGGAATTTTTCTTGTCATACCGTTCGTGCCCACAGATAAATTTAATAGGAAAAGGCTAGAATGAAAAACATTTCAATTTTTTTTATCATACGAAGAGAAAAATTTCGGAAAAATTACGCGGGGGAAAAATTCGTTTTGTAAAAAATTATGGAATTTATTTAATTGATTAAAAAAGTAATAATAAATAGTAAATATAAAAATAATAATAAATAGTAAAAAAAAATAATAATAAATAATAAATAAATAATTTTATTTATAAAAATTTGATTTTTTTGGAATTGGAAAAAAAAAATTTGAATAAAAAATGGATTTTTATCGGTTTTCAATTTGGCGTGAAAATTCTGGGAAAAATCCATTTGGGACGAATTAATTCCGACAAATAAAAATGACGCAATAAAAGAAAAAGTTTTCTGAGGTGTTACGCGGTACGCAAATTTCCAGGTAATTTTCCGGATAATTTGAGAAACAATTTTGGTAGGTGTCATCCTCGAGTAGGATTAATGGCCGAGGTTCCGGTGAGGGACTCCAGGTTCTCAAAGTACAAGTGGATGAGGAATCGAGGGTGGAAAAGCGATTCGAGTGAGTTTGGGTAAAATATCACGAGGTGAGTGATTCTTCATCCGGTTCTCGTTGGTGATTCTCGAGTTTGCAACTGTCAAGTGGATTTTCAATGGCACTTACTCCACTTTGATGACTGTTGGATCATTAGCACTCGACAAATTGCGCATGTCTACGTGTTTGCACGAATTTCAAAGATTCGATTGTTTAATTTCGAGTGATAGCCACTGATTTTTCACAAATAATCGACTGCGTTGGTCTGTAATGATTGATTACTATCGAATGTCCAAGTATTTTTTGGTACGTGGCATCGAATTTCTGCGACGATAACGAGGAACTTGGTGATAAGGTTCATTGATAGCGAGTGTCGCTCTACATATAAGTCGCGAGAGATCGATACCTTGATCACTTCAGCTTTTGGGAATTCAGTCCAGGTGAGTTGGCGTTCACATTTTATTAGATTAATTCCCACCCCGGCAATTTCACCTAGTCAAATCCTAGAGGTAATGAGGGAAAATAGATTTCGCGATTATTTGCTGTCATTTTCGCGGTGGTTTGCTGTCATTGTGTGCTCACCGTAACGAGGAAATTATTTACTTGTCCAGCACGATTGCAAGGAATCTATACGGAAAAATAAAATTTTTAATAATTATCATATCCCGAATTTTCACAATAATTTCTATTTTTTATGATATTTCTTATAATTCAATAATTTTATTTCAATAATTTCTATTTTTATGATAATTAATCTTCATATACATTCCTCATGTTTTAAAAATAAGTGGAACAGGCCATATGGTTATATATTTTCTCAAATATATTTTTTCATGGTGGCAATCGAATAAATTTCCGGCGCATTTTTAAACCAGAATGTTTTAATATTAAAAATTCGACTGTTTGAGTTTTCAGGATTGGGGAAAAGTTTCATTAGCCCGAGGGCAACTACTTCAGGTAATAATGACCAGCGTGGGTGATGTGTTTCTTCTGATTACAGATTTGGATATTGGGAAATCGATATGAAGTACCTGGGGATCGGACTTCTGGTTGTGGCCCTTGCTGCTTTCAGCTGGGGAGCCCCTGAGGACCGTAAGCTACCGAATTTTCAATTAATTAAATTTAAAGCTACACTCAAAAAAAAAATACTTGACCATTAAATTGTTTTATCCCAAAATAAATGGACGAAAGTAATTTTTATTCCGTGCGCTCGCTAAAAAAAAATAATTTCTCTTAAATAAATTCATATAAACATTTGAATTTATCATCCGTGATTTTTTTTCAATTCTCAAATTCCATTGTCTCAGAGTTATCAGTGTGATTGATTGCCACTCGAATATTTGACTGATCGAGACGAGTATTAAGAATTGATTCATGGGAATTTGACAGATTCGAGGGTGAAGAGGATCTACGACAATGAGTTGGTGAAGTTCCTTGATGTGAAGCTGAGGAAAATTCTCAGGGAGGGCAATGATACCTTGAGCGTACCGATCATTGATCCATTTTACAGCAAGGAATTGCCTCTTGAAATCAATCAGGAGAAAGTAAAGTACGCGTTGTCATCATTGCCAATATTTCAATAATTGGAAATCGTTAGTGCCCTCTAGATATTTCTTCGAGAAATCTATAAACTGCCTTCACATTGCAGACATTCTTGTAGGTCAATTAATTATTTATTGGTGGTAATTAAATTTCAGAGTCAATGCAGTCATCAAAGAATTACACGTGGATGGACTTGCTGGGTACATAGTGGATCTCGCTAAAATCAGTATCTCCGGGAAAGTGAGTTTCGACCTCACATTTCCCGAGATCAAGTCCACTGGAACATATTCGCTCCAGGGGGTTGTCATGGATGGTATCGATGTCTACGGAGATGGAGAATTCCAGTGAGTGAGGATTACTCCGGAAATTCCTCCGATGAGGGAAATAATTGACAAGCGCAAGAGACTAAGCCAATTCAGCTCTTCACTGAGCTTTCCCTTTATATCTCCAAAACTAAGAGAGATATCGAATTTTCTATAATAACTTTTTTTATAGCTCTCAATCAACTCCAGAGAAAATGTTCTAACAAAAATTTCAAAATCTCCCTTACGTTTCGAGATATTCGCTGAAACTGACCAACATTCCAAATCGATTAAAACCGATTTATCAAGTAGCTGCATAATTAATATCTCAATATGCCTCTTTGGGCAAAAAATTAAAAGCCCATTTATTTATTATTATCATTACCATCCCAGTGAAATAACATAAAAATTTATTTCTCTAGAGTATCATTGAAAAACTTCACAATCAAGACAGTAATCGCTGTGAATATCATCGGTGAATTGAAAATCAAGTCAATCAATTTGAAAATCGGCTTAGGAGCCCTCGATGTGAGTTATCAATTCATTAAAATATTATTTTCGTCTTGAATGTTCCTGAGTACTCATTTCAAATGATTTCTCTAGCTCAAAGCGACTGGAATTTTCAACGACGAGAACACCTCGATTCTTCTCAGCGAAATCATCTCGGATATGGCACCTGAGCTGATTTTGGACTATCACGACCAGATAACCACCCCCGCGTCTGCGTATCTCGTGGAGATTATCAATGTCTTACTCGCTGGAAAGAGTCTTAAGGACCTCATAGGGATGCTGGGATAATTTATCCGCGCATTGATATTTTATTATACAGTACAAAATAAAGGACTTGAATTTATTTTTCATATGCACGCCTTGGATTATTTTATATTTCACTCCTCATCCCTGTAGTCTTATTGCTGAATAAATAATTAATGTAGAAGAAAGAATTTCTTGAATTCTTTGGCGGTGATTTTTTAGCATTCGCTATTTTCGATAACTCTGGAATTCATATTGATTTTCTATATGATATAATAGAAGATTATTTTCTCTTGTAATGGCCATTTAAACGATAAAGTTCGGTTGATATTAGTTTCACGTGTTCTAAACTCAGATAACTGTCTCTGCTCGATAAAAATTCTCTAACAACTGATAATGTAATTGGAATAATGAGGGAATGCTGTTAAAAGAATTTTTGACCGATGGAGATACAAAGCTTGATAACAAAAGAGAGTAGTTGTAATAACATTTACTAAATCGAAATCAATTTTTCTACTGTTAATGATGATTAATAAAATATTTATATATCAACAAATATTTTTTCGAGTTTTATAAAAATTATCCAAAATTAAATATACCTTGACATATAAAAATTCTGCAAAAGATTGAATTTCAAGTTAAAGCTGATTATTACTCCTCAATTTTTTTCTATTTTTTTCAATAAATTAGAAAAATTAAAAATTTTGTGGATATAGTTTGGGAGATCTACGCAACTCTTTCATATCGAACATGTTGTCAATCAATTTTTCGATATAATTGATTACACCGATGAGTGATTACAATTGATACGATCACGTGATCTTGGCTTTGTATATAAGATTGACGGAAGCATTCATACGCGATTGATTCTTAAGGTTTCCTAATTGCAGAAGCTAGGTGAGTAAATATTGTCCATTTCTTTCAAGTTTTTCAAATTTTTCTCAACTTAATAAACCAAAGCTTATGAATACCAGAAAATCGTAGCGAGAAACGTCTCACTCCTGGAGATAAATTTAATTGAATTCCGCGTGTTATTGAGTAATTGACAATTTTTTTTTCATTAATTTTGAAGTCAGGATGAAGTACTTGGGGATCGCACTTTTAATTTTGGCGATTGCTGGCCAGATCCTCGGTGAAAATGTCGCTGAAGAACGTAAGCCTTTTTTAAATTTTATTCATTCATTCTTATTGCTTTGATATTCGGATTTAATTGATCCATCGATTCAGGGGACTTACGGGTAGAAGCGATCGCAGCGAGGAGCTTCAGCTCGAAGCTTCGGAACCTCCTGCATGTGGAGCTGAGGAGAATGCTGAAGGAAGGTCATCCTTCCAATGGAATCCCTATCATGGACCCACTGAATCAGGATGTGCATGCCTTCCAGATCAATAACAAATTCGCCAAGTGCGTATTGTCGATTAATATTCAGTTATTGAATTATCTCGCCCAAAATATTCTCTAGATAAAATCTTGCCAATATTAATTAATACTTCTGATAAAATCAATTGAATATTGATTACCGTATCAATTAATAAACGAGGTGAAATTTTGTGGAATATATATAAAAGGAAATAAAGCTGTTCGTGCACATCCAATAATTCAGTTTCCGATTAGAATTAATAATCTATCGTTTTTCGTTTTTCTGCAGGGTACAAGGAGTCTTCTATGATCTATACAGCAATGGAGTTGCTGGTTACAAAGTTGATCATGCTGACGTCGGCTTTTGGTCGAAAAAGGCAACATTCCAGCTGACATTTCCACGAATCTACTTCTCAGGAAACTACTCTCTCAACGGGGTTGTGCTGCAGAAGAATATTTACGGAAATGGAGAATTCCAGTGAGTACATATCACAAGTCGATTTATTCCCCAATTGAGTTTTCGAAGAATCTCTCAGAATATAAAAGGTACAGACAGATTGTTGTCAGGACCTCGTACTATCTCCTTCCTTCACTTCACACTTGCATTCATTAATTTTGTCTTCATATTTGTCTTCTCCAGGGCAACAGTGAAAAATCTCAAAGTCCACGCAGTAATAGCTCTCCAATTTATACCTGTCAGTGCTAAATCCATGAAGCTCACTATCTCCTTGGGAGCCCTCGACGTAAGTGAAACGATCAACTATTACTATTCTATCTTCAAGGTTGTTTAATAGTGACTATAATTAATTGAATAAATTTCCCAACAGTTCAATGCCACTGGATTGTACAACAACAAGGAGACCTCCAAAAATTTCAGCGTACTCATCTCAAAAAGGGCACCACAATTTATTGCAGAACATCACAATGAGATCACTAATTATCTCTCCCCAATTCTTCTTAAATATATCAATAGTGTCCTTTAGAACATGTCGGAATATTTGATCTGCGTAATTAATTGCGGAATATTGATAAGAGTGATTTAATGTATCACTTATTAATCGATCGATAGTTCTTGATTTGTATTAGAGATTAATCAAACACAATTAAAGAACATGAGATAAAACTTTGGATAATTGCTTCTATCATTTAGCGCATCTCTCAAGTACCTGGGGAATTTATGAATGTTATCACGGATTTTACTATCACCTAGATTCTCTACAATCTATTTTGATTAAGGCCAACCGATTCATCAATTAAAAATACTTATATTGTGCCGATTAGTAAATATTTGTTTTATTCTACAGTTTTATACATTCCAATAAATTTACTAGCTGTTAAGATCTCTATTCTCCATCGGGGATGTTTTCAATACCCTAGAAACATTCCATTGATAACTCATTAATTACTTCGTAATCAGAGATAAATTATGTTGATTGTGGTTTTGTTGTTATGACTTACCTTGATAATCCAGGGAGCTCCACCTATTCTGGTGTCTCTCGTGAACATATGCCTATCCCAGAATTCGTTGAGGTTTCTTCTGTATGACTGAATAATTATCCAATTCACTAATTAATTCACCGTATATTAAATGACCGTTCTAACAATTTATCAGGACGTTAAGGAAAAATACTGATATCAATAAAACAATTTAATGAATGGATCATTCAAACTCAACAATTGAAGAATTATGATTGTTCCATAATTACCAAAAAGTTGATTTATTTTGTGTTATTATTCATTTAATATTTCACATATATTCATATGCATTTGGTGGAATTATATTTTGGACTCGTCAAAACGCCCTGACAATGACTTTGAAGGAGAAACCGTAATTTTCGGACTGATGAGTAAAGTACCGTAGGTTATGTAAGAAAATTTCACTTACATTTCCAAAAACGGCCTTGTTCCAGTAAATGGCGGCAATTTGGGGCATTGCAAGGCAAGTCCCAATAATAATGGCAGCAGGCATCACTTCGTACCACATTTCTTCAGCTTATCGTTTTGAATTTGCTCCAAAACGTAAGGAAATAATTTTTGAATAATGATATTGGATTGCGATCAGATGTTCAACGGATTTAGCGTGTACTAAATACCAAAATGGAGTGGAATCTTCGATTTCTCTCAGAAGGTAAAAAAGTTCCCGGGTCTCTGGGACAGAGTGACCGAGTTCCTCGACGCACTTGATTATCCTGATACAAAGACAGTGTAATTTTGTGGATATTGCATATAAAATCAGAGAGCAAACGCTAGTGAATGCAGTGTTAAAAAATTCAAAATTTGGTTCATCTGGACTGAGTGAACAATTGAGAATTCAGATGACCATGATTTGGGGTTAGAGCCAGCTGATTTTGGATCTCCTGGCCTTCGATGGGGGAAGAATAAAAGCACATTGCAATCTTCCCAATCGTATACATTTATATTAATGTATTTAAAATGGAATTCGTTATGAGCAGAAGTGTAAATAGAGCAGGAATTTTCCTGAGATCTTATGCAAATTTGGGAGTACCCAACACTTTGCGCAATATTCGGTGTTTCTGCCAATTTTATGACACGAGATGGTCTGATAGAGTGTATGGTAGGTGAGCACTGCAGTACATATTCCAGTAAATATTTATTATTTTAATTCACTCCTTCATTCCATCCTTGAGACAAACGGCTCGAACTTGTTCTTTCCCGTTTTTTTTTTGTGGATATATTGGGACCTGAGGGAGATGAAAATAATTGTGAAAAATCCTTTTCATAGAAATTTCAGAGGCTGTATTAAAGTTTCAACAAAAATCCTTATATTTCTCGTGAATTCGAAGGCATTGAAGAGAAAATCATGGTTTAATGTTTTCTGCTTCAGATGATAGATCCAGGAATTCAATCTCCTGGCACAATTACACCTCGAACTCCCTTCAACAATTCAGACACCTCAGGAATCATGAATCAATCGGTCGAACTATTTCTCCAGTCTATTACTGCACTGCTCCGAAGGATCAGGGCCTTTCTCCCCCCGAGGCACCGAAAAAAGTGTCGATTTTTCAGAAGATGAAACAGTTGACGAAGGACTACTGGCACATTCTTATTCCGGTGCACATTGTCACTTCCATAGGATGGGTGTCCATTTTCTACGTTGCAGCCAAAAAGTATTTTTTTTTTCATTTATTCTCGATGTTTCAGGAGTCGTTTGCATTTTTAATTGATTAATTGGGTTTCAGTGGGGTTGATGTCATTCAGCTCATGGAATATCTCCATATGAGCGAAAAGTATATAAATATCATCAAGAACTCCAATGCAGGCCATTGGGCAGTGGTTTATGCACTCTATAAGATTTTCACGCCACTAAGATATACAGTTACAGTTGGTGAGTATATTTAAAATCCCGAATTGGTACCCGGAACCGAAATTACAAATAAAATGTACCCTGCAGTGATTGGAAATTGATTTTTTTCTAGGTGGAACCACATTGAGTATCAGATATCTAGACAGACTGGGAATAATGAAATTCCGACGATCGACTGAGGTTTGTACCCCCGAAGTTCGCCAAACGATTTTCCATCGAAAGTAAAAATAAAAAATTTTCTCTTTTTCACGCTACCAATGTACAGAACATCCGTAAGAAATTACCTAGGTCACTGCTTTCACGATTAATTCATTTCCAATTCAGTAGCGAAGTGGTAAAGTGACATCGATCAGATTTGAAATTATTTTTAATCATTCATTTATCTCTCGAGCTATCGATTTAAGCTGAAAATATTGAATGATTCAAATCGTTAGCATCTGAGGATCGATATTAAACAAAGCAAAAAAAATTTTGTTTCACCGTTTCGCTAGTAAATTGCGTTCAATTATTTCTATCGCTAAGGCCCCTCTGAGAGATGATTAATTAGTCTCGATTTCCTTCTCAGGCACCGCGTACGAGCAGTACCAGCGACGCAAGCAAAAAAAACCAAAACACGACTAGCCCCAAGAAAATCAAAAGCGATTAACAGAGCTCATAACTTAGAGAGTCTGAAATTGACAGAGCAAAAATTGCCACACTAAAGAGAATTTAATTCTTGTTTTACTTGTGTACAGATATAAATGTTATTGAAGCTTGTTCAAATGAATAAAGTGGTGACAAGAGATAACCAATCCAGGACATGAATTCGAAGATTTTATTGATTAGTCAATGGTACACATCGTTTGTACGTCAAATATAAATAAGTACTTATCTACAACGATTTGAAAACTACTGGAGTAATTACTGATGCTGGAACGATAGTGATTCGAATGACACTGGAAATCTAATCGATATTTCATTATCAATACAACGAACATCGATATTACGATAGGTACATTATCCCGCGGATGAGGCATTACCTAATTATAGAATTATAAAAATTATTCGAGTCAAAATGAGTAAAAAAATTATGCTATTATCATTTATCACAGCAACAGGCTCCCTTTGTCGATTCAAATAAAGAAAAATGTTAAAATAATAAATATTGGTGTCCGGGAATATTAAATTCAGCGGCGAAATGGTAAACTTATACAAGTCGAATTCAGAATTCTCAATTACAGTAAAATCCAGTCATAGTCGCTTTCTTTTTAGTCACACCGCCTCTCGATTTTATTTTTCACGTACCTTTCGTGTTGGCGGTAGTTGCACTATAGTCCGATTTTCCGAATTCGCTTCTCCTCCGCCCCCATGCACGCGAATATAACGGGAGTCTATTGTATATCAGTTATCTCGAAAGCTATCGATTCAAAATGGGAAAGACAGATGACATTTTTGTAGATGATTCAATTTCCGACAAAAAAGTTCTCTGATTTTTCATTCTGAAATCAATAATTTCCAAGATTTCTCGATATTTGAGAAGACTGCAAACTTATTTTTCTCTACAACTTCTCCACTGAATTAATGAATAAATAAAATCAATTCGATAAAATAGAGGGGATTAACCCATGAATTGATAGCTAGCAGAGACTGGTTGTGGTGCACGTGGTTGTGTGTGGGATATTCTTTGAATGTGACACGCACGACACATGAGTCTGCCGTCCAGTGGATAACAGCGTTTATCCGGCTCATCAGTCAGCTGCATACCACAGTCCTCGCAAACGTAGCAATCTACGTGGAAATCACGATCCATTGATACGACTCTGACTGTTTCTTCCGTACCCTGAGGCAGAAAAAAATATTGAGCAAAAACACGCACAAAAAAAAACCCTGAAAAAACAGCGAATTCTCTGAATTATTATTTTCAAATGTATTCTGGATAATTTAATCAATAGAATCAAACCAAAAATAATTATTCAATTGATTAATGAAAATTGGACTAATTTTTTATCTTTTTTATCATTTAGTATATTTCGTTGCTAGGTCGTTAGAAATTTTTTCTGTGGCGATTGTGAGTTTACAGTCAAAGATGAATCCGAGGAGTGTAAATACAATCGTCAGAGAAATTTTTTTCAACCGAGTGACGAGTTACATCTTCGCTGCGCGGTTATAAAACTCTGCCTACAGACTGAGTGACATTTTTTTTTAATCATTGGAGCGGATTTACAAGCCAGATCTAGAAAAATTCTAGACTAGCATGTTAAAATTCTTAATTGTATGTTTGAAGTACAAAAGAATATGTTGAACAATTTTCTTTCGACTTAATAATTTTTTTCTCAGTATTGTCTTGAATTAATAAGGGAAAACTTACCTCGACTGGTGTGATTCCTTTGCCACAAGAAGCACACTTAGGCGCAAACATTCTGTGATAGTCATTAACACAATAAATTTTATTATCTACATCAACAGTGAAAGGAACACCGTCGAGGCATTCATTGCAAACGCAGCATCTAAAGCACCCCGGATGATACGATTTACCCATGGCCTGGAGAATCTAGAACGCCACGAAACAATTACTCATTCAATTAAACGCCAGTTGCTCTTTGAAAAAAGATTAAGAGAGCAACATACCATTTCCATAATGAGGTGTCCACAGATCGCGCACTTCTCCGCAGTCTGTTGAAATCCAGAGTACTGGGGAAAAAGTAACACGTTTAGAGACAATAACGAGTTGAGTGGGCGCGAATGCAATTGTTTCTGCATTTTAATGATCTTTTAAAAACTTATAAATGGCCTCGGTTAATTCATTGTTACTGATGAATTTCTATTCCCACAATAACACCGAAATGCATTGTTTAAAAAAACAATTCAATTTCATTGAACTTGATGTAGCGGAGAACCATGAAATTCTTTAATTTTGCTCAATCAAATTTTTATAATTATTTGTGTTGTCGCGGTTTCTATCGATTCCCCGACAATGATTGACTGAAAATTTCTAATCTCTTCAATTTATTCAAAAGATTTTGAATTTGAAATTTTTATTTGAAATGGGAGAGCGATAAATTCAATCAATCTTACCAGATAATCCTCTTCGCAATAAACCTTCCCATGCACATTATAAAATGCCTTTCCCCTGAGAGCTCTTCCGCAGGAGCAGCAAATGAAGCAATTCGTGTGATAAAGATTTCCCATAGCTTGACACGCCTGTCCGGCACCAGTGACCTTCTCCCCGCAGGTGTGACAGATGCCAAAGTACTCGCCCTCCTCCTCCTGCTTCTCCATCTCCTCCTCGAGCTGCCTGGTGAGTTCTTCGATTTTCCTCTCAGCCTCCGTGGGTCCAGAGGGTCTGGGTGGAGTGACATTGTAAGGAAGCAGTCCTTTTCCAGCCACGGGTTTGGGGCTGGCAGTTCTCTTCTCTTCAATCTCAATGGGCTTCTGTAATACAGGCACTCCAGCATTAAGGAACACCGGTCCTGCGACACCACTAGTCACCCCCGGTGGCAGACTCGTGATCCGGGGTGCATTCCTGGATAAATCATCACTACAAATAGTGGCTGCACTGGTGACAGCAGCTTGAACCTGCCCCCTCACAGGAGAACCCGAAGAAATCCCGGATCCCTGTCTTGCACCTGGAGAAGTCAACTGTCCTTGAGGACTAGCTTGAGTGGGACTCGTTTTCTGTGAGGGCTTGCTTTCCTGCCCAGCATTTCTCTGCTCCCGTCCAGCGTGTGGAATCGCATACAACGGCGAACTTCTGTTAGAGGTTGGGGACTCATGCCCCTCGTTTTTTTCCACACTCATTCTCCCATCACTACGACAGGGATACCCTGAATTCCTGAAATCTCTGCGTTCGTTCTGGGGATTCCAGGAGCCAGTGACAGTTCTCTGGTAGCCGGGCATTCTCGGCGCCTGAGCCCGTCCCTGACCATCAACGTAATGCTTGTAATTCTGTCCGTTCTCCTGACGATATCCCTCAGGAAATCCCCTGTAGCCCCCATGAAGAACGACATCAGAGCTTCCTCGATAGTGAGTCTCTGCTGGCAATCGAACGGGAGGTGAATCGCCCTGATAAGGATTCGACAGAGATCTTGGAGAGCTGGGATGCTGGAGCTCTGATGGAGGTACATAAGCACTCCTCCCTGCCTGGAGATCTCCACTCGAATTCGAGGATACCAAGTACCTCGAGGGGGTGTTTCCCAAAGCAGCATCATACGACTGGACTCTAGTGGGCCTCTGCTGTTGAGCTTTTCCAGTCATGACGACGTAATCCCCCCCGTTGATGGTCGAGTGATAATAATTCGGCACCTGGGGCCCAGGTTTGTTCTGCGGCTCTGGATCGTGGTAACCGATTTCCTGAATATTTTCGTAGACAGGGGGTGCCTCGTAGGGTGGCAGTTCCTTCGCTGGAGAAGACGTCTGATACCGATTGCCAGTGGGTACCTGGGGCTGTGCCTTTCTGAAAGAAGCCTCGTAGGACTCAGCTAAAGAACCTCGAGGACTCCCTCGGGGACTCTTCTTGTCTATCGCGTGGTAGTAAGGGGGATGTGACTGCGGATAGTACTCTATGTTCTCGTACAGGGGAGCGTGACGACTCTGATCCTGTTCCAGACCTTCCAGGGGCTTGGAAAACCTCTGGACACTGTCCCTGTCGTAGTGCTTGTAATCCACCTGACGAATCTCCCCTGAATCCTCGATGAAACTCTCTATCGCCACTGATCTCGTTGATCTGTCCCGGTACTGCTGATGATATTGCGGATGCTGGGGGCTCGGTACCTGCCCCTCTGGCTTCGAGCCAGATCCCTGCGAGACTCGCTCCTCATCCCCCAGGTGGAGGTAACTCAGCTTTTGGACGTAGGCGTCAGTCGAGTCACACATTGGCTGGGGTGGTGGAGGTAACCACCTGCCAACACTTGAATTTATTCCAGGACTTGTTGAGACGTTTTCTCCTCGGTGTCAGTCCTCCGTGGACGTTGGTTTTTTTTTCAATGAGGACGTCTCATCCGCTTCGTGGAAGTCTTCATGACGAATTCAACATTATGATTTTTTCACTTGGCACGTATTGGCTCTTTGTTCTTGTTATTGTTCCCGGGAGAATGGACAGTGGATGAATCAGACGAAATTAATGGGTTTAGCTTTTTAGGAGAATTATGAAATAGTTTAACTGGATGGGGGTGAATTTTGTGGAGAGTTGAGCCGAGTGGAAGTGGTTCAGAGTAAGATCGTTGGGTTATTAATGGAGAATTACTGGATTTGTGTCAAATCGGAGAGATGAGCCCTCAAATTTTCGGGATACGCCCCAGTGGTACTAAGTCGATTGGACCGCGATTTAAATCGGGATTAAAATGTTTTGAGAGGGCACTTGGTCACTGGGTGTTGGGGACTCGTGGATTGTGGAAAAACTATATTTCTAACACCATTGTTTGTGCTTAATCGAGAGAACACGCACTGTACGTACTACAAGCTGTACAAGCTTGATGCCAATGAGAGACTTCTTCTCTCTCGTTTTGTGTTGGAGTCGGGGAAAATCGGATGAATTCGGCGCTCCTCGGGGTGACCAGCTAATGGTACGGGACAGCTGTCAGTGGAGGATGCCGATGACGTACAGATGTCACCGGTATGTTCTCCTAATACTTTTTTAAAAATTTCGAATTTTTCAATTTCAGTGAATACCAATTTCGTGATGCAGAAAATAATATTCAGCTGGTGACTGGTGCCTCTGACTCCGGGACTGTTACTGAGGCAATTACTGAGTCGGCTGACAGGCAGACACCCCAGCATTGCGTGTGGTACCCTCTCTTCCTTGGGATGAGGTACTACGATGCCGGTGGGATCACTCAAACCGCCAGAACTGAGCATCTACTTTAGTCAATCCTCTCTGTCTCGCACTCTTGTCTTTCTGCATGAACTGACAGCTGACACATCTAAACAAACCCGAGGAAAACGAACGCAAAACAATCAAACCGGAATAAACACACCCACCAGTTGAAACGCCTTCAGTTCAATGATAATCGTCGTAAAAACAAATATTCATGTCGTGAAATTCTACGGCATGTAATTAAATTAAGTGCCAGCTAAGAAAAATTGCTGGAATAAGTTGCAGTAAAGGTCATTCAGAGAATTTTCCTGTTTCGAGTTGTACACAAAAATGAGTCCTACGATATTGGAAAAAGAAGAGCGGTGCCTCGGAGGTATGACATTTTTTGCTCAAAGTCATCCCAGTGAAGTCTGTGGCAGCAACGGTCTGCCCCTGACCCCCAACTCCATAACAATTTATGGAAAATCCCAGTTCTTGAAGATCCTGGACCACCGGAATCTCTCGCCATACGTCGACATCATTAGGAGTAAACACGAGAGAACAGTCGTGGTGGCAGAGTACAGTGGAACACCCTTGCAGTATAAAGAAAAAAATTTTTCTGTCCCTGATATTGTGAGGATAGCGTATGAAGTGCTGTCTGGACTCAGTTACATTCATCAATTTGGTCTGGTCCATCGTCATCTGAATCCTGATAATATTCTAATCAAGGATGATGGTGCTATTCAGCTGTACAATTACGGCTTGTATTACATGACTGATGGGGGCAGAAATGTTCCCTTTCCCATTGGCTATCCAAAATATACAGCTCCAGAAGTTTTTTTGAATTCGACAAATACTAGCAGTTGTAAAGTCGACTCCTGGTCGCTGGGTATGATAATCGCAGAGTTATTGCTAGGGAAGAGCCTCTGGTTAGGTATTAAATTACACCAGTGCCTGTGGAAAGTTCTAAGTCTTCTCCAGAGCCAGAATAGTGTATTCGAGCACTTAGCGAGGGAGTGCGACAGGTACGATGAGTTTAAACAACTCCCCCAAGACGTAAGGGATTTCGTTGACAGTTGTCTCCAAGTGCGATCGTCCCAACGAAAATCCGCGAGAGAACTTCTGAAGCTCCAGCTCTTCGACAGTTTCACCTTGAGAGACGTCAAGAATCTTGAGGAGGGAATTTACAAGAATATAATCGTGCGAAACATGGAGGAGCTGTATTATCTGTGGCAGCTAGCAGGTGGAGACATGACTGTCGAATTGAAGAAGAATGGGTTGATACGATCAAGGCCCCCAATACTCTCGATTCCAAACCTGATAATTCTCTTAGGGCAGATGTTTGGACGTAGGGATACAGCTTGTTTGCTGGACCTGCGAGTTATAAAAGTGCCTCTGGACATATTGAGACAGCGTCTCTCTCATATTCCCTACATCGCAAATTGTCCTCGCCTGACCAGTCAAATGCACGTCAAAGCCCAGGACGATTTAACCGAGACGTCCTCTCAGCTGCCTCTGGTTATTAGAGAACGAGACACTGAATACCAGTTTTACAGGATTGTTCTCTTCGACAGGCTCTTGAAGATCTATCCAATAACGAGGACAGCCATCATCAGAGAGGCACACAAGGACATTCCTCCCCCTGTCAGAGGAGCTGTGTGGGCAGCTCTATTGGGAATAACTGGAGATGTCGAGAAAAGGTACGATGGGATCGACAAGGAGACCCCAACCCACACAGATCGACAGATAGAGGTGGATATCCCGAGATGTCACCAATACAGTGAGCTGTTGTCCTCTGGGGCTGGTCACGAGAGGCTCCAGAGATTACTAAAGGCTTGGGTGAGAGACAATCCTCACTACGTCTACTGGCAGGGCTTGGACTCCCTGACAGCACCATTTCTCTACCTCAATTTCAATAATGAAGCTCGAGCCTTCGCCTGTCTCTCCGCATTCATCCCAAAGTACCTGCACAGGTTCTTCCTGAAGGATAACAGTGCTGTGATCCAGGAATACCTGTCCAAATTCTCCCAGATAATAGCCTTCCACGATCCCTACCTGGCCAATCACCTCAGGTCCATCAATTTTGTCCCAGAATTATTTGCAATCCCCTGGTTCTTGACCATGTTCTCCCACGTCTTTCCTCTCCACAAAATTCTCCATCTCTGGGACAAACTTCTTCTTGGAGATTCCGCTTTTCCTCTCATGGTGGGTCTCGCCATTCTTAAGCAACTCAGAGACTCATTACTCGTATCTGGATTCAATGAATGCATTTTGCTGTTCTCTGATTTACCGGAAATCGACATTGAACTCTGCGTGAAAGACTCCATGGCCATGTATCAGAGTACTCCAGCGAGTATCACGTATCGAAAGCACCAGTTCGATCAGTCCAAGGCGTCAAATTGGCACGACCCAGAGGCAGGCACTGAGAGACTTCCCAGGATCAGTATCGAGGATTATCTGATGTTGTT